CCCCCCCCCCCCCCCCCCCCGCCCCAAAAAAAAGAAAGAAAAGAAATCCAGCACGAGCAGTTACTCTTACAAGATAATTGCTCTTTTTTAGTGTTGGGCTAGCTGCAGCAATGTTCTCTATATACACTTCCATAATAGAACACATATAAATTCCAGACTCACTAAAAAATTCCATCACACCAAGTGCCCTACAAACACCTTGAATTGCAAGTAAATTCTGTTAACTTTGATCAATCATAGAAAAGTAAGAGAAAAAAGAAGAGAATATTATCGAGGCACAATAAGCCAGAACAACATTAAAAGAAACTACATATAAGAGATCTTTATATAGTAGGGGAAAAGGAAAACAAACAGTCTAAGATAGGGCAACATAAAAAAAACAAATGACTATGTTACCCCTAAGTCTAAATATGCTAACTACTCTAACACCCTCCCTCAAACTCATGATGTGGTAGTAGAAAACATCAAGAGCTTGTCAAGAAGAAAACGAAAGTGAGTGATAGGATGCGACTTTGTGAAGAAATCTGCTAGCTGCATACAGTCCTCCCTTTCTACGGCCTGTCCCAATCAGCTTGTTGGACTGTGGATCCTAATGGACCTGAGGTAAATGAACCTACTGAAGGAGATACTGTAAGTGCACCAGGCTGATGGGGAGAGATTAACTTCTGCAATTGATCAGCAAGCATAGTTAGGTTGGGTGCATGTGAGGAAGACTCATCCACCAGTGTTGCAATTGCTGCTGAATGACGATCTTGAGGCTGAAATGACTGATTTGTTGTCCCCCTTGCATTTTTGTTCATCAGTTTAGGGTGCCCTTCTCATAGTAGAAGCTACATTCATCTAAAGCTACATGACCCTGATATTTATTTTGTGAATGAGAAGCTACCGTGGGAAGCACAACCAATACAGTCTGAATAGACAATGGAATAAGATCTCTCCCAGAAAGAGTCTGAAGACGAACTTCTTCAGCCAAAAGCTCATTCAGTATTGCATCAACTGAGGGAATTGGATTACGATGGAGAATAGAACCACAAAGTCCCTCGAAGTCATCTCTGAGGGCCATCAAAAATTGCACCAACCTCTACTCCTCTCTAAAAGTGCGATATATCATATGAGTACTCAATTCAGCTGGTTCAGCAAGTGCTAACTGATTCTAATATCTAGTCATAACTAAGTAGAACTCCTGAATGTTCTTATCACCCTGACATACAGTTTGAATTTCATGCTCTAACTGATACCTCTTTGCAAAATTGGACTGAACAAATGAGGTAGTTAAATAATCTCAAATCCCCTTGACTGTATTAAACTTAGCCAAATGAATACTAATGGTATGATCAATTGACTTGTCAATCCAAGTGATGATTTTAGCGTTGTTAATTTCCCAAGTATTCTTTAAGTCAACATATTTCTCGACCTTAGGATCAGTTGGAGCTGACAAATCACAATTAACATATCTCCATATTTCCTTATCCAACAAGAATTTTTCATAAAATAAGCCTAATATACATGGTTCTCACCTTTTAATCTGACACTAATAGCCTGAAAAGAATCAGAATTTTCACTGGCCATAATACCCAAATCAAGCAATCCAAAGCAAATATTAAAGTAAACAAACAGCCAATAACCAAGCAAAATCCAGCAGCCCAAAGTAAAACAATGACCCACAGTAGTGATTTTAAGCAAAAATCTAGCAACCCAACAACCTAGCACCCAAATAGCAAATAAGGGCCTAACAGAAAACCAAAGCCCAACAAAAACCACCAGCAACAATGCTCAACAAAACAAAACTCAACAAAGAAAAGAAAAAAAGTCAAGCCAGAACTAATCTCAAACCAGTAGTAGCCAAAATCAACAAATCCTAGTAATTAGGATTTCTTACCTTGCAACGAGAAGCACCAGCAGAAGAGAAGAGGTAGCAAACTCAACAACCAGAACTAGCAATCTATGCAGCAATTGGTTCAGCAAGGAAGACATAGGAACACAGAAACAGCCGGCCAACACACAGGGGAGCACAAATTCAATCACAAAACAGAAAGAAAAGGCACCAGCGAAGCCAAGAGAGACCTCCCTAGAACAGAAACCAAGAGCAGAAACTACAACTAAAAGAAGTAGCTAACGTCAAACAATTCAAAGTTCGCCACAAATCAACTCAACAACTTTGCAAATCAAATACTCATAACAAATTGAGATTTCTTACACAACAATACAACAAAAATGACACTAAAAATTAAAATTTGGCACTATTCACAGCATGAACAGTAACCTCGACACTATTCACAATGCGTGAACAGTAATTTCGGCACCGTTCACAGCAAGTGAACAGTATTTTCGGTACTGTTCACAGCCCCTAGAACCATGTTGGCTCTAATACCAATTTGTTATAAACAAAGACCACAAACAAAATAATAACGCAACGAAATAGAAAAATATAACATAAATTTACGTGAATTTGCTTAAAAGCCCACTCCATGGGCGAAACGCAGGAGCAACGTATCACTATCAACCAAAGGAGATTACATAAAATTCTTTAACTCAGAGAATAAAACCAAACATAGATACCCAAAACTGGTGGCCAAAAACTCCAAAAAAAACTGAGCGATCTATAATCTATTTATAGACCCAAAACACTTTGTCTCCTAATACAATAGAGTTTCTAATTGGTCTTTTACTTGAAGTGGAATTCAAAGACATCTACATTTCTAAATCCCTAAGGAGAACAAAGTTCAAATCAGTTTTCTATTAGAACTGGAATACAAGACACTCGCAACAAAACTCCACCTTAACTTATATTCCATCATGCAACGAAAACAAAAGCGAACGAACAAGCTGCCTTTTCCACAAATCCCATGAGAGAATACAAATATCACAAGCATCCATAAAAAATCTCCACCTTGACTTGTATATCCACCAAGCCATCAAACCAAAAGTAAATTTTTCAACTACTTTCTCCACAATAGCAAATCTATTAAATCTCCATCAGCGTTGATCATAGTATCTCATAAAGAACTTTTGTCAAAACAATTCATCATAGCAACGTCGCGTATCTGGATCTGCCTTAGATTGAAATTGTTCTGGTCACCAAATTTTTCTATCTCGAATTTTACTGTTGCCATCCCGAAACCAATAGCTCTGATACCATGTTAACTTTGATTAATCATAGAAAAGTAAGAGAAAGAAGAAGAAAATATTATTGAGGCACAATAAGCCAGAACAACATTAAAGAAAAACTACATATAAGAGGTCTTTATATAGTAGGGCAAAAGGAAAACAAACAACCTAAGCTAGGGCAACATAAAAAAAAACAAATGACTAAGCTACCCCTAAGTCTAAATATGGTACCTACTCTAACAAATTCAAGTTACTCGAGCTTGACTGAAGGTAAACTCACTTAGAAGTTCATTCAAGATTAATTCAAAAGAGAAACAGAAAAAGCTGACTTATACAAAGAATAGCATAAATTATAGACCTCACAAGAAACTCAAGACTGGTTAATTTTGAGCAGTCTAAAGAGTGCAAGGTGTGCCAAGGTACTTGATGTCAGATCAAGATTGGCTTGATCAGAAGCTTGGTTGTGATTTTTTTTTTTTTGTCTTTTGTGACAAACCAGCCAAACTCAACTGGAGTTCTGCCTATAACAAACAGCCTACTTCACTCATATTAGGCCATGGTAATGAATGAAACTTCAGGCTAGCTGGTTGGACCTTAACACAAGTCCACATGATTGCATCAGAATCAAAACTTCTCCACCATGGTTAATTATCCATACAGAATTTCCCATATATTGTCATCCCATATTGAGTTGAATTAGGATCTCAGAATTAGTAAATAAATGCCAGCACCAGTGTGACTCAAAATGATTCTGGTCATACTGAAAAATAGGATCTCTAACAGATTTCATCTCAACAGAGCACAACCCATTCTATAAATCATATACAGTCAAGAAATACTAAACCCATGTTAATATGTGAGAAGCTTAAGAAATTGCACAACGACAATGATAATAACTAGATAGTGATGAAATGGACAATGACAATAAAAAGCCTTACAACCACATAAACAAAACCCCATAATGCATCATCTTCTCTTCGAGTGCCTCCAAAAGAAAAAGAAGAAAAGAGAGACAATTCCTTTAACTGCATTCCTCGTCATACTTTAGTTCTCCAGTTTTATGCATGGCAAAATTCCAAGCCTTTTAGAAATCAATTATGAAAGTTTTCATGCTTTTGTTCTTATAAAGTTCCAAGCATATCTAAACAAAGAGGAATAGGAAGAGTTTGTATTCTCACACACGAAGATGTCCAAATTACAAACATATTTGTTAATCATCAAGACAATCAGGGTGCCACAGACAAGCATAAAAATTGTCAAATATATCAATGCTACCAAGCAAGATCATGATGATGTGATTGTGGGGTTATCCCTTACAAATTATTATCAGCATTTGGTACTCATCAGTAATAACTTCTCTCAAGTATACATCACCACTATGTGGCTCATCCAATTTAATACTCTACTTGGATTCAAAGTGGATGTTCTAGAAATATTTGAAGTGAGGAATCTAATAGGTAAGCTTGACTGAGCACAGAAGTCAAGGAGGAGCTGCTTCTCTAATAGCCCGCTGAATAGGAGGGCGAATACATTATGAAAAAGTCTCAATATGATCAAACCGAGTATTGCCAAGTAACACAACATTGACCAGTAATAAGAATTCACATACATACAGTAGCAGACTCTATCAGCATGTAAACATAACTGAAATAATTAAATACAAAGAGATAATTTTCTCACATACTGACAAACCTGTAAGAGATGTCCAAGACCAAGCCCCTGAAACAAGACAACTCGTCCTTCACAAACTCTGGGTCCTCCAATAAGTCATCAAAAATACCGTCTGTACTGACACTTGAGCTCAAGCCCGCATTGGGGTGTTTGGATTTGCTTAGAGACGATGACGACGAAGCATATAGTAGGGTACTAGAAGAATTACAGAGTCTGCGCTTGCCCTTGTGAAATTGTAGTGGATAAAGGGTTGCATCAAGGAATCTCATCCACCCATCACCACCACGGACCTTGTAGTCATGGCGGTGACATGGGTCTTTGGGTTCGAACGACATTGATATCCCATCACCACTGAAAAAAGGCTTTAGGCGTCCTTGCACTGTGAACCGTGCCATAAATTAAACGAGAGAGAGAGAAAGAGAGAGAGAAGAGGATGATGACTTCTTTAATTTCTCTCTCTTCGCGAAGCACTTCAATGGGTTATTTTTGTTGTTCCTTTGCATACAAATTCTTGAGCAAAGATTTATTAAAAAAAAAAAATTCTTGAGCAAAGAAAGAGAAAGAGAAGAAAAAATAGAAACTCTTTTCTTTGTTCTTTTGCTTTACGAAATGATCCGTTATACAATTCTCAATCTTATACGACCACATGTGAAGATTGATGAGGGCCCCAAAAAACAAAAAAAATCAACTGTTATCGCAATGACGTCTATGGGTCTATACAGTTGGCAAGTCTCTTGCTTTTACAGTGGCAGGTTGCAAGTTCGAAACCCTCCTGGTTCCTCCCCCCTCCCTTTTATCTCTCACCATTGTTGCTTATTTTTTAAAAAAACTTTTACCACAAGAACAAATATTTAAGCAATATACAAAATAAATCAAAAAAATTTCCTAATAACGCACTTTATTCATTAGTCAATTCATTTTGACATCCAAAAAAAAATTCAATAATGTTATGCTTATTAAAATTTTTATCCCAAATAATATAACACAATCTCCATCATTAAATATTAATAAAAACCCACTTATTTAATAATAAAATAAAAAACTTGATCAACATATCATTGTGGAAAAAAATTATGGTAAAAAACTCAATTCATTTTAGTTTACATACAATACTCGGAGGGAGGGAGAAGGGTATAACAGAAATAAAACAAAGTACATGTTGAAGGTTAGTTTTGTTAGTACTTAGTTCATTCTCCTGTTATCTCTGTGTGCGCGCGCGCGCACAACAGAGAGAGAGAGAGAGAGCAGGGTACAGTAGAAATCAACTGCTAGCAGATGATGATTAGAAAAATAAATTACCAAATAGATCAAGATACCAAAACCCCACTTGAACACGGCGTTAAAAGGTGGAAGACAGTAAGCACTCTCACAGGTAAAATTGGGGCAACAAGTTCTTATTATTAAATGAAGAGTCTACATGAAAGAACCAAAATGGGACTTCTTCAATCCCTGTTCTTACAGCCAAATGGTCTATTAACAGACACCACCAAATAAGATCAGACACTCAGATCCACATCCGAGCTGACAGATCCATCACACACCTTTGTAGGATTGGGGGAAATGAACCCAGATTCGGCAAAGAAACAAGATCACATACAACCGTCAAGTCTGATCAGACCCACAACTAGAAGTCAGCTGCTTGATACCCCTTTCCAAATATTCACATTCGAGTCTACCCCCATAACATGCCAGTAAGAACGCAGTATTTTCACTTTAACTTGGAAAAAACTGAGCTGAAGTGTTCCTTTAGTGCATATCTGCCATCAGAAAAATAAAGATGAAAATAAATAAAAGCATGTTTGTTACACACTAGTCCAAGGAGAAAACAATCATCACCAAAACAAAAAAAACAGTATCCACCCACTTCAGATGGATGTGGAATTCTATAGTTTGATTGTTCAACGAGGCTGCAACAGTAATGGGGAGAGAGAGAGAGAGAAAACAAGCCATACCATTGTTGGTTCTTCCTGAACTCTGTAAGGACAGGATATATGTTCTCAAAGGCTGTATATGTTTCATCTCTCACCTAACATCAAAAAAAGACTGCCAGTGAGGAAACAGTGAAACCATTTATTAAACAAATGAAGAAAGCCAGAAGCCGAAAGCCAGAAGCCAGAATCACCTTGGCTCCTGTGAGGACAATCTTTCCTGACACGAAGATAAGAAGCACAATCTTTGGTTGCTTCATACGATATATTAGGCCAGGAAATAGTTCTGGTTCATACTGCATGAACACAATGACAAAATTGATTAAGTGACCCAAAAAGAAAGGATGCAACACATGATGTATATCTCAATTATAAAGCCCAATCAAAGATTCAGTTTGTAAAGATTTTGGGTTTGACTTAGCTACTGAAAGAGGTATGGTACCGAAGTTTGCCACCTTTCTGGTTCAAAAATACGACTTTTTGCCGACAAGTTACCACAAAACAAAGTAAGGACCGATCCTAGCATTTTGGGATCGATCCTAAAGAATACCAAGTTTCGGGGTCAAGTTACATTGTTCTTGGGTAAAATTGCAATGTTTGGGGGTGTTTGGGATTGATCCTAAATTTTAAGACCGATCTTACAGTATTGGAATTCATCCTAAACATTGCAAAAAGTTATAACTTTGACCCCAAAAGTTAGTATTTTGTGGTATGGTACCAAAACAAATTTAGTTCCACAGACTTGGCCAAAGATTTAAGTAGCATGCGTGCAATTAATTCCTTGTTCCAGATCGAAGAAGTCTTAATGTCTAAGACAATATAACTGATAATGGAAATTATAGCAACATCAGCACTTAAAATATGTATATTTGAATACCAGCTGACACTATTACCAGAGAATTGTCACTTACACTTGAAAAGGCACCATGGGAATATGCTAAACCTTCAAGTCTGATAGGAAATTTCACATCACAAGAGCCAACTATGTTCTGAATCTTGAAATCCTACCAATTACAAAACAAAATATTGGTAAGGGGCAAATTTGGGAAATCAATTAACTTTGTGAACACAATAACTAGCGTGTGTCTGTATGCATTCACTTTTGTGTATACATGTGACAATGCGCATGCGAGTGTGAGAGAGAGGGGTGTGTGTGTGTGTGCGCGCGAGAGAGAGAGAGAGACAAAAAGAGAAGGGGGAGAGGGAGAAATACCTTGAATTTGGCTGGGAACCCAAGCTTTTGGATAATTCGTGCATACTGGTACAAAAATTAGCATGACACGTTAAGGAAACTCTCCAACCATGTTCGTAACAAAATTCAAATTTATCCAGATAACAATTCTTGTATACAGAGGTGAAGCCATGTTATGTTATATATTATACCCCTAAAATTATATTGTTGATTACATTTTGTCACTTGAAATTTTTAAAATTATACTTTATACCTTAAATTATAATGATTTTATTTTATGCTCTCAATTTTTTATTTGACCATATTGCACCATTAACTATTAAAATTGACATTTAGCATGAATTGTTAAAGTGTAATTAGTGTCATAGTTAAGATGACAAATTATAGTATATTAAAACACTACATAAAAAGTTCAAAACTCTTTAGAATAAGTATTTCAATTATTGTTCTCTCTCCCCACTCTCTCTCTCTCTTCACATTTGCCAAAACTATGATGAAATCTAATTATACTTGAATAATTAGATGATAAAATTAAACTTATATAATTTATTATTTGATGAATTGCTTTATTTTGACATTAATTTATTTGACTTAGTTTAAATTAATTTTATTCATTTTATTAAAAATAATAATTACAATGTCCTGAGGTTGATTCTGATATATTCTATGCAAGGGAAAAATTGAAATTAACAATGCTACTGAACATAATTGTTAAATCGTGTATCGAAAGGCATATCGTTTTTAAAAAATAGTGTATCGTATCATGTATTGCAAGATACGTGCAATTTTAATTTTTAAATAATTATTAATAAAATATATGTATATACCTTTGTAAAAAAGTCATAAACTCATAACAACATAATATTTCATTAATATTCCACCAACTATTCAAGTTCTCAATATAGTTCAGTAATATCAAAATGCAAAAACCTATAATTCAAACTTTTAACATCAAGTGTTTGAACAATCTTAATATTAATCAAGAATTTTGAATTCAATTGAACAATATTAACAATAGACTTTATTTATCTATTTTGTTTCACTAGCAAGTAATTTAAAAATAAATCCTAGGGTAAAACGATGTCATTCCANCATTAACAATAGACTTTATTTATTTTTTTTGTTTCACTAGCAAGTAATTTAAAAATAAATCCTAGGGTAAAACGATGTCATTACAACCCCAAAAAATAAAAAATAAATAAATAAATGAATAAAAAGAATCGTTATGTATCGGACGTATCGTGTATCGTACGATACGATACAAAAACGATACAGAAACACGATACATATCGATACGATACTAATAACTATGCTACTGAATGACTCACATTAAATAAAAATATCATGTTATGCCACTATTTGGCCCCTTTAAGGACAAAATATTGGCTCTGCCCTGCTTGTATCAATGGTGATAGAAAAAATTTCTCATAGTTAAGTCATTGCGATTCCTTTCTAATATGGCTCCATATGTTAATCAAGATACATACAACTACGTTTAAGAAAGACAAAAATTTAATAAATTTATGAGGATTTATGAACATGTAGGGGTGTCCAAGGGCTAGGCCCGTGAATTTTTTTTCGGACCGGGCTTGAATAGTGTAAGCTCAAGCCCTTACCCAAGTGAGTTATCAAGCGGACCAAGTTAAGCTTCGGGTAAAGATAGGTTACCTGCAGCCTAACTTGCGAGTATATTGGGCGGGTCTATGGACAGGTTTGCTTGCGGGCATTTTTATATACAACTTCATTTAAAAATAATGAATATTTTTGTAACTTAATATTTGTATAAATTATATTTTTGAATCAAAAGAAGAGTCAAAATGAATAAAAATAAAATAATAAATACTTTTATTTTTTATTAGGAGATGAACTAGATCTAACAGAATGAATACATCCCAACTAGGTTGACAATTACTCGCTTATTTATTATTTGCATTACTCTACTCTTTAAAACTTGTATGATTAATACATGAAAAAAAAAATACATTATTTATAGTATCTAAATTTTTAAAATTTCAAATTTCGACATTAGAAGACTTATTTCAAAATTTCAAATTTAATGGTTTAAAAATATAACTTTTTTTCAAATGAAGTGTGAGTGGTCTAGGTTTGGCAGACGGGCTCTTGGGCCAAATTTTAACGGGTTTTAATAGCTGGGCTTTTAGGCGGGCTTCAAATTGAGTAACGGGTTTGGTGGCAAACCCAAGCCCACTTTTTAAGGATATTGGACTCAGACTCTGGCAGACTGACTATCGGGCCTATCGAGTTTCGAGCCTATTTTTTTCGGACCAGATAACAAGATCCGTGGGTAACCCGACCCATAGACACCCCTATGAACATGCTAATGAATTTCAAAGATTTATAAGTTTGAGACATTTTAAAGTTCATTAGCCACATCCACATCCACATCATAGTTTGTGGAAGATTTGAAAGACCTTGGAAGATTGGGAAAGGCAAGACCCTTTGGAATTATCATCATAGTTGTCTGTTGGGTTATTTGGAAGGATACAAGTGCAAAAATCTTTAAAGATTGGCCATATTCCTTGGAAGGATTATGGAATAACATTCATTTCTTATTGTCTTTTTGGGCCTCGGTTACAAAGGAATTTATAGGACTCTGATTTTTACTATTCAAGCGGGGATGGAGAGAATCTAGTAATTTATAGGCTTGCAATGTTTTTTCCTTCATTAGCTATTTTGTTTTTTCTTGGTTTCATTTCTTATCCAACCTTTTTGATGTACCCTTATATTTTCCTCTTCTATTTTATTAATGAAAGAGTTTTTTTTCATATCAAAAAAAAAAAAAAATTGATCACCAACCTTCCTCGCTGCAAGTTTTGACTGATGTTCACTCTTTGCTCCAGTGCAAACCTAATAATATCAAGCATTAAAGCAGATTGTAAGGAGCCCGATCCAAATGAACCCCAATACCAAGACAAATAAAAAGATTATGAATCCAGAATTGAAGATAGTCTTGTAGATGATATGGTTAAGACTGTAAGGCATGAAACAAAAATTTTCATGAAAATATGACAAACTTACCATCTTCCCAGATGCAAAAATTAAAGCTGTAGTTTTTGGTTCCCTTATCCTCATGATAACAGCAGCAAAACGCTGTAGGGGCATTCAGACAAACAGTAAGAAAGGGTTAATAGACAAAACAAAGTGAGTGATAACCTTGAAATAGAACCTTTTATCGAAACAAAAAGGATAAGCACCCTCAAGAAAATCAATTGCAGGTGTGCACATGCAACACATTTGGGTTATTTGTATGTTTGAGAGAGAGAGAGAGAGAGAGAGAGCCCAATGTCCCGATGGATCAAATTTGCATACCTTGGGATTGTATTCTGCATTACGAGCTTGCAATGCAATGGCCTTAAGATCCAATTTGCAGTCCAAGTTGACTGTTGAGACAATATTCCTGGAAAGACGAAACACATGATGGGTCAGCTTCTGTAATCTGGCATTATTTCGAAAAGAGCTCAATACTCGCATTCAATAGCAGGACAGAAGAAAGGATTGCACACTCATTATAACATATTCAAAATAATAGCGACATAGACAAAATAGAAAATATTAAGGCACACCAAATACTAATCCATACTTAAAACATGTGAAATCCTAAAACAATACTGCTAGCATTAATAAACTAAACTACTCTACACCAATACTAGCATTAAAAAGAATTGGAGAGACAACAAGTAAATGGACAAGATGATCAATGACAACCAACATATATCATAGAATCACAATAATGTTTGATGGCTTTGAAAAAGTACTGAGTCAAGAAAAAGGCAACTAAGGTGAATAGCTGGAGCAAAGAAAAAATTTTGTGCTAAGAAACGCAACTGTGGGAGCACAACTATGGGAGCGCAAATGAAGCAACAAGATTCATGTAATTTATATCAAATACTTGACAAGACTTTGCTGACTTCAGTAGGTTTTCATAAATGCAACCATGGGAGGTGGGAAAAACAGCATTTAAAGAACAACCTAGGATCATCAGAACAACTGGTCATCATTAATACAAACTGCATTTATTTTCAAGTCAAAGGCAATGGCCAGTGGCTGCCAACAGAGAAGCCGACAAAATTGTTGTGTGTGCTAAGATTAAATCACAAGGAACCTATTATCAATGGAAGTACTTTTAGCTAATCAAGAGCCACAACATATTATTCTTAATCAGGGAAGTGTGTGTAGCAAACACCAAGGTATAATTCTCATACCTATGCAGAGCAGGGCATGACAATCTAATGTAAAATACATGAAATTTTGTCCATCCACCAAATTAAGCGTCACAGAGCAGGGCATGGCAGCGTAATGTTGAAACCCGTATGACATGGCAATCTTGGCTATAAATTTTTGAATTACCCAGAAGAAAAAAACTTGAAATGTTAGTCGGCAAAAATATACCAGTGAGGCAAAGACCACCAATTTACATTTCAGCAAGTCACGGGACATCCAAAATCCTAATCTATTGCTGAGTGAATTAAACAGCAGCACAAAGTCATTTAAATTCAGTTGTCTCTCAAGGGTCCATACAAACTCATACAAACCACCTCCACATAGGTGATGTCCATCATTAAACAAAGTTACAAACAGAATACAGAGTTTCTATTCCTCAGTCATCAAACAAGTAGTTTTACTAGCTCAATCCAAAGTGCTTTAGAATTGTTACCCCAGTCCCCCCCCCCTTTTCCTTCCCCTCTTTTATCAAGAGTCGGTGATATGGCAATACAGACCAAGGAAGGATTTCGTAAGAACATCTCTTTATTCATTGTATTGTATGCTTTGTTTTCTCAAATAAAAAACTACAATACAAACCCAACACGAAATTACAACAAATCCAACTAAAAACGACTCTGCGCATCTCAATTTGCATATACGTATACAAAACAGATTAATTTGTATTGATAAACTTGTTGACCGAAAGAACAAAAAGATTTATAGGATGAAGAGGGAAGAGGGGTAAGACTTACTGAAGAGTAGGAACAATTCCAGAGGGGTGCTTGGAAAGATCCACAGGTTGGCTCCCTTCCAAGCCTTGATCCGCCATCTGATTATTCCCTCCTCTTCACCACCCCCTTTAATGAAAATTTTCTATTTCTTAAAACAAATTAACGTTAAGTCAACGATGTGTTCTGTAAATAATTCTTCAAGTTCTTGAGCTCAAACTAGTCGATCAGGTGATGATTCAACTCGAGATCCGTTTCAATTAACAAAAACTGATAGCTTTACAACAAAATCGAAACTAGGGTTTTAAATCTAGGGTTATTTTTATGGAAGATCAGAGTTGAAAATCTGAAAGATCGAGTGAGAAAATTGAAAGAGGAGCGCCAAAGTTTTGAAAACAGATTGTTTTTATAGAGGAGAGTGAATATATACAGAGGATTTAAGGCCTCTATAAGGAGAGATCTGAAGAGAGAGGGTGTTGTGAGGAGAAGTATGTGAGAGGCAATGAGGAAAAGGCCGAGTAGACAGAGGAGAGAGAGACGTATATGAGGCGGCGGTGGTTGGGCTTATCAACACGCTGTTTGGTATTTATAGTGGGTAACCGGTTAGGGTAATCTTTTGCTGGTGGACGGTGACTGGTGACTGGTTATTACCGGTTCAATGGTTTCCCATTTGTATAAGAGGTTCAGGAATAGGGACATCTTGGGTTTGGACCATCCCGGCTGTTATTGGATACCTGGCCCATGATTCTGTCGGCCCACAAAAATCGACTCTACGAGTCAACCTACCAGGTGGTGTTTAACAAAATTAAAAGTTAAACATTAAAAATTGAATTTTAAATTTTAAGTATTAAAATGCTAAATTTTTTAATTTGTAAACTGTTTGGTATCAATTGAAATTTAAGTATTAAATTTAATCAAATTATTTAACAAATATAAAGAGCTGAAGTTTGAAAATTATTATTATTCTACTTTTGTCCTTGTCTTTAATCATCTCTCTATAATTGTCTTATTCCTATTACCACCATCACAATGGTGGTGGAAAGTGGTGGTAGAAACATCACAATAGTGGTGGTGGTGATGGTGACATAATGGTGGTGGTGGGTAGAGATGACACAATGGTAGTGGTGGTGGCTATGATGGTTGTGATGTTTGTGGTGGTGGTAGTACTGACAGTGGTAATGGTGGTGACGGTAATATAATGGTGGTGATGATAGCGACAATGGTGGTGGTGGTAGCAGTAAAACAATGATGATGGTAGTAGTGACATAATGGTAGTGATGGTAACGACAACACAATGTAGTGATAGTGATGATAGTGGCGGCAATAATGATGATAGTGATAGTGGTGGTGGCGACAATAATAGTGGTGAGAGCAACGATGGTGGTAATATTACGGTGGTGGCAATGGTAATGGTAATGATGGCAGCGATGACATAATGATAGTGGTGGTGACAGCGACAATAGTGGTGTCGAAGGCGACAGTAATGGTGGTGGCGCGGTGACATAATGGTAGTGGTGGTGGTGGTGACATAATTGTGGTGATGGTGATAGAAGTGGTGGCGGCGGTGGCACAATGATAGTGGTGGTGATAGCGATAATAATAGTAGTAATGATGGCACAATAGTGGTAGTGATAGTGGCGGTGGTATAATGGTGGTGGTAGTGATGACTTAATAATGGTGAGAGTATATTTGTCTATTACGATAAATTGATAAAATCCTTACTGATTAACATTTTCAGCATTAAACGATAAGTAAGTAGCTTGCTACTTAAAATTTTAGCATATTTTTAAGAAGTGTTTAAAATATTAAGTAATATGAGTTTTGGGTTATCAAACAGATTTAATATATTAAGTACTTAAAATATTTAGTTTTAAGTGTTATCAAACAGCCCCTTAAATTCTCTCTATTACTTTTTACTCAATTTCATGATAGATTATCAATCGAATATAAATAAAAGATTCACATATAATTAATAGGTCCCACATTAGTACATGACGAGTGATCAATTATTAAATAAAATTGTGTTAAAAACTAATAGAGAGAATCTTAATTGAGGTAATTCAATTGAGATGATCATCAACCATTACATAAAAACAGATAACATAAATAATTTTTTTAACAAAATTATGCTTCCTCGTAATTTAATATTTTTTATGGTGATGCTGACTTTAGTAATGATGATGAGCTCAAATTTAATTAAATCAGACCCAACAAATCAAGTAAACTAAAATCAACTAAAGGACAAGTCAAACCCAACTCAAAAATTCGACCCAGCCCAAGTTTGAAAGAGTCCACGAAGAAATAGAACTTGTGGACATGCAATTATTAGAATACTCACTCTTGAAAATCAAGACAACTTTTTATGGCAATTACATTTTATAGCCACTCGGAGAATTAATACATTTGCTCTCAAGTCACTGCTTCAAGACAAAGTCCTGTGCCTATAAATTATAAATCCTCTCTACATGAGAGGACATATTGAGCTTTATGTTTACACCTCTCTATACACACATAACTTTTCTCTCTCCTAGATATTGTTCATCTCCCGGAGTTAACTATTGTTCTCTCTCTCAATCACCATACTTTATCAATAAAGCTCCCTCAGCCATTGTTACCATTTTCCCAAGTAAAGTAGATCACCCGAACTGAACTACGACATATCTGTGTATTGACCCGATATTTAAATTATTTTCATTGATTGTTCTATTAATTGTTCATTAATTACACTTTATCACACACTCGACTGTTGATCTTGCACGAGACTATTTTGTGCAACATCAAATAATATGTTGTTATTTATTACATAAAAATTGTTATTTGACTATTTGCTTTTGGTTGGTGTGATAAGTGAGTCGTATTTAATAATTTTTTGGTACCATACTTCTAAATTTTATTGTTTGAATAAATATTTTTATAAGTTTTGTGGATTATTTTATAACAAAAAAAATTTATAATTTTTGTGGATAATTTATCATTTTTGTGAGTATTTTTTATCACAATGGTAAAATACACTTATAAGAGTTATAAAAATATCCATAAAAATAATAAATAACGGTACGATATCGATTTTTTTTAATACCATAGAGTTGTCCCACATTTGATTGACAAGAGTAACACCTCAATCTAGCACCATAGGATAAAACTCAAATTTATCAAATATTTCACACATACTTCACTGAAACAATGTAAAATTTGATCACCAAATTACTTCTGTTGATTATTAATTCTTTTCAAATAATCCTATGTTTAAACCAAGTCAATGATCTTCTTGTTATTTTTTTATCCATTATTGATTTTATACCACATATATAGCATGGGATTGATTCGTATAGCATATGTGGTGTTATTAGAGATTATAACATCGAATCATATTAACTCGTGTTATAAGATTGGACCTTAGACTTTAGTCCAAACATAATATTAAATTATCATTAAACCAATTTAATCTAATCTCATCCATACTATTCAAACCATACTTGCTTACTCTAGGAACTCGGGTCTCTTAAATTCCACATATTTGTCACGGAGTATTACTTACCAGCACTACACAGTTAACTTGCAAAAGATCTCACCACATTGGAGCTGATATTAAAGTCTCATCGCGTGCTTTAGTCGTTGAAGAGTAGATTTAACCTCGATCAGCTATCATATAGAAATTTAAATCCAAACAATGAGTAAAAAAAATTTAAATTCTTACCTACTCAACCAATCGATCAGTGATAATGGTATCTGGCTCTAAACTTGAGGGATAAAATGGAAAATAAGACAATCATGGTTTATTTATGGTTGATATTAACTCCATCACGTAATTCCTCATGATACTTCAGCGGTTCAATTCAACATACCCAAAATTTGAAGGGGTCAAAGCGTCAAATAGAGTTTTAGATAGTTTTTTTGTTTTTAAATGAGATTAAAGACAATTAATAATTTCTTAAAAATATTTTGGAACAGCCTCAACTAATGTCCAAAGACAGAGACGGAGCCAAAATTTTCATTTAGGGTGTTAAAAACTTTAAATTTTTTTCTCCCAATCAATACAAATAAAATTTTTAGGAGCGATCGCAACTACAATAAAAAAGTGATAAAAATAAGTGCTATAAAAGTGATAAAAAACACCAAAAAATAAAATTGATAAATAACAGTACAATACCGAAATATTTTCTTTGGTGCCGTAGACTTGTCCATAAAAAAAAAAGAAAAAAAAAAGAGCCAATAATATCCAACTGAATAAATATCTAGTTTTCCCTGTACTTCTTTTGGATTTCCGAGGCTTATATCTTAATACAGTAGTTAATGTATCGTAAAAGAATGAATTGTATTGGATAATACAGGCTAATTCTGTATAAGTGGATAAAATATAAGATTAAATATAGAATAAAAATATTACTCACTGTAATCCAATATTTGGTAAAATATTGGATTAAGAATGAGATAATAAATTTATAATTTAATATGCTTGAATTGGACTATAATAATACCTCCTTATGTGGTATTATAATCGGCTTAATAGTACGGATATAGTGTATTATTTGGATAAACAGGGCACACTGGTGAAACTGGCTCCATCTCTCTTGTGATGCTTGTCAACGAGAATAGGAGAGAAAGTCTCTCTCTTATTCTTAGTATGATAGCTTCACTTGCTTAACTTACTGATAGTTCCCGAGGCTTCTTCGACATTTTTCCTATAGTTTTCTCTTTTATTGTAAAACGACTCCTATACATAAATTACGTATATTATTTGTGTAGTAAAATGCATCTAAATGCTTATTGTAAAATAATAATTAAACATGCTTTTGTTTTTTTTAGCAAAATTACATTTTTTTTTTGTTTAAAGATTTGGTAAGAAAAGCGTGTTACCAAACGACAACTTCTATTATTTCTACCACTTGACTAAAAGCAGCTAGGAGGCATAAAGCCAAAGCTCACATACATAATACAACACATGTAAATCATTTACGATGTTTTTTCTTTATTCCTTGAAAGGCTTACAATATTTCATGAAATAGTGAGTGAGAAAGCTTTTTACATTGTACAGTAGTTCAAAGACCATGTCCATCACAGTTCACAACTCCATGGTTTAGGACTATATATTATCTACATATAAAGGCAATGCTTACAATCCTATACCACTCAATACACGAAGGATTAAGGAAAGAGAGGTGAAACAAAGAGCAGAAAAGGCCATATGAATGAAAATAGACTGTGTCGGATAAAACCCATTGGCCGGCCCCCAAAGTCATGTAGAACTACTTGGAGACCGGATTATAATTGACCACAATTTCAACAGGAATGACCGGAATCGAGTCCCACCATTCCTTTGATCGTCGGTTCCCCTGTTCTGATTCCATACGCTTCCCGACCTTTAATGTCATTGTAAAAGAATACAAGATGAGGGCCACAAGGATGTATTTGAATGGCAACATGGCTAGTATGATCGCTAATCCGGTCATAGCCATCATCACCATTTTGGCATGCTGCAACCATGAAGCAAAAATATTGGAAATGGTGAAAACTAATGCAGAGAAAGGTTGAAATAAGCATCGGCACATGTAATGTAAATATTCCAGTTACAACCTTACTTCCACAAAATACAGTGATGAAAACTGGGCTAATCTAGATTGTCTGTAAATGCATTCGGTTGAACGCAGAATGAATTTTTTTTGAACCTGACATAGAATTTATCTACAACATGGTTGTAAGTTCATTAATTTTCCCGTATGCTCCATGCAACTAAATCAGAGTTCGGGTATAATGGAATTTGATATTATCTCAGTATTTTGGACCTAATTTTTTACCTCAACCTCCGTTTGTTCTGATTCTTGGACAGTATAAACTAGACTTTAAGGGCTACAAAAATAAAATTTCGGAAATCGACTTCTAACTATGTCAAAACTGCCTTGGAAGTTCAAGCAGCAACATTTTTAACTAGTTTCAATTTGTTTAGAAAGCAGTTCAAAGCATTTACACTTTGTACCTTGGGGGCCCTATAGACCATTATGGATCGGATTTTCAAAATTGTAATGTTTGCCGACTGCACCATTTCTTGCAGAGTTTTTAGTCCTTGTTGCGCCGAAACAATGCTTTCCATTGTTGTTTGGCCAGTGCCCCTGCAAATAACTATTTTGTCATGCTTGTCTCCGATCCTCGTGTACCTTGCCCAAAGCATTTTAGCAACCATAAACAGAAGGAAAGCTGCTATTGCGTTGCCAATCCACTCCCTACCATCATGCCAAGACAATGTTAATAATGTTCAAACAATTGCATCAGTTGACAAACCACCAGGTACAGCAGTTTCCTTTTCATCATTCATTTAAACAAAAACTAAGTACAGATAAAACAAAAAAACTCACTTATAGACAACTAGTAGAGACGTAGCAAGCACGATGATGGTGGTTGCTGGCCTTTGCCATGTAGGAACCTCTTGAAACCAAGACCATGCACTTGTAAGCGGCTTCAGTAGTTCCTAGACAACAGAATCAAGGAAAACAACAGCTCAAATGACACGACATGGCTCGAATGATCAAGTGTTAAAAAAAACGAAATCACACAACAGCTCAAATGACACAACAGCTCTCGATTGATACCCCTGTGAGTNTAAACGCATTCGGTTGAACGCAAAATGAATTTTTTTTGAACCTGACATAGAATTTATCTACAACATGGCTGTAAGTTCATTAATTTTCCCGTATGCTCCATGCAACTAAATCAGAGTTCGGGTATAATGGAATTTGATATTTATCTCAGTATTTTGGACCTAATTTTTTTCCTCAACCTCCGTTTGTTCTGATTCTTGGACAGTATAAACTAGACTTTAAGGGCTACAAAAATAAAATTTCGGAAATCGACTTCTAACTATGTCAAAACTGCCTTGGAAGTTCAAGCAGCAACATTTTTAACTAATTTCAATTTGTTTAGAAAGCAGTTCAAAGCATTTACACTCTGTACCTTGGGGGCCCTATAGACCATTATGGATCGGATTTTCAAAATTGTAATGTTTGCCGACTGCACCATTTCTTGCAGAGTTTTTAGTCCTTGTTGCGCCGAAACAATGCTTTCCATTGTTGTTTGGCCAGTGCCCCTGCAAATAACTATTTTGTCATGCTTGTCTCCGATCCTCGTGTACCTTGCCCAAAGCATTTTAGCAACCATAAACAGAAGGAAAGCTGCTATTGCGTTGCCAATCCACTCCCTACCATCATGCCAAGACAATGTTAATAATGTTCAAACAATTGCATCAGTTGACAAACCACCAGGTACAGCAGTTTCCTTTTCATCATTCATTTAAACAAAAACTAAGTACAGATAAAACAAAAAAACTCACTTATAGACAACTAGTAGAGACGTAGCAAGCACGATGATGGTGGTTGCTGGCCTTTGCCATGTAGGAACCTCTTGAAACCAAGACCATGCACTTGTAAGCGGCTTCAGTAGTTCCTACACAACAGAATCAAGGAAAACAACAGCTCAAATGACACGACATGGCTCGAATGATCAAGTGTTAAAAAAATCGAAATGACACAACAGCTCAAATGACACAACAGCTCTCGATTGATACCCCTGTGAGTGTAGATAGAAATATACTCTGTATATGTTTCAAAAGCAAGGCAACATCGTACCTAAATTGTACAATGTGAAAACTATATTATTTAAAGATGCAAAATAAGAATATTGAAATTTTTTAAGGTATAAAGTAGGAAAAATCCAAAAATAAATACAGAGTGCGTGTGCGAGAGTACGTTGAGCTTGTAAATCAGGTAATGTTCTTGAGAGATGGCTGGGTCACATTATTTTTCAATTAATTATATGTTCTACCATTAGAATTTGTACTAATTCGTTATTTTACCCCATTTTTTTTTGTCAATTCCATCATCCAATCCAGTGCTTTCTTAGAAAATCCAAAAATGTATTAATTAATTAAAAAAATTTGAATTCGAAAATTTTATTCTTGGATCAACTAAACCTGATGATGCACAAAAATGATTTTGTACATCACCTGTCAAATGTAAATAATAAATGCAGTAAAAGTAAAGAGAGAATTGGTGGAAACAAGATTTATAGTGGTTCGGTCAACTTGACCTACATCCACTCTTGAATGACTTTCGTTGTCGGGTACTTTATTAATTTAAGGGTGTGGAGACAGAGAATACAAGTTTCGAGGGAGAAGAGAGAGTCAGGGAAGGTATGATACCAGGCAATCAGTCTCCTCCTAAGTGTTGATGGAGTGTGCAATTTATAGTGGCTCCCTAACAGGTTGGGGCTACTTTCTAGCGACTAAGCAACCATTTCGGTGGAGCTCCGATCTCTTCTCAATGAGCGAGATGGTTGAGGAGTTCTCTATGAGACGTGGTCAAAGATATGGTGAGGGTGAACCGTTTCCTTCGGTGGTGCAGATAAGGCTTCCTATGCTCTTCTCTTGATGACGTGGCTAAGCAAAGAGTCTAACTTGGTCTTGAGCTATGTTGGGCTTGGTGGATCTTTAAATGAGGTAGGGCTTCTTAATTGGGATTTGGACTTTGCACATAGATTGGGCCATTTTGGGCTTGACTCATCATTTGCCCCCCAATGCCTCGTGTTCAAGGAAAGCTTAGAGAATGAGGCATTGACTCTTCATTTGTATATTTTTAACTTTGGTGCAAACTCCAAACTTTTCCCACTTTATTTTGAAGAGAGCTCATAATCTTCAATTTGGGCTTTTTCCCTCTTTTTTTAAAAAACCCTAGACTATAAATATAGTCTTCTTCTCCATCCTACCCATTTTGTTGAAACTTTGAGAGGGAAAAGTGTGTTCTTCTTGAATCCTTCCAAGAATGGGATTTCTTCCTTTCTAGTAGAGTTTCTCAAGTGGGCAATGCCGATTGAAGAGGGAATGGTGGAGATTGAAGAAAGGGAGGAGATAGGCACCATTTTAGGAAACTTGGAGGCTGGTTTTGACCATTCGAGTGTTGTCCTGGACAACCTTGATGCCGAAAATGGTGGACTAGATAGCCTGGGTGTCGAAGGTGGTGGGTTGGACAGCTCAGTTTCGCAAACCTCTCCGCTGGACAGCACCTTCGCGCGAATCAGCGCGCAGAGAGGTGGTCTGGGCAGCGTGCAAGGAGGTGGACTGGGAAGTGTAGGGGAGCTGGGCAGCACGCAAGATGGTCTGGACAGTGCGCCTGATGGACTGGACAGCGCAAACGCGCAACTGGGCAGCGCGCCGCGCAGTTTGGCGGACTGGGCAGCGCGAGCATGACTCCTAGTGGGCTGGGCAGCGCTGTGCAGGCTGGAAAAAGAGTTGTCAAGGCCAGCAAGAGCACAACAAGGGAGCTGGGCAGCAGCCTGGATGGTCTGGACAGCGCGCTTGATGGGCTGGACAGTGCAAACGCGCGACTGGGCAGCGCGCGTGACGCCTAGTGGGCTGGGCAGCGCTGTGCAAGCTAGAAAAAGAGTTGTCCAGGCCAGTAAGAGCGCAGCAAGGGAGCTGGGCAGCAGCCTGGATGAATGGGCAGGTCTGAGCGCCACTCCAGGCGCTGATTCGAGCATCGTAGGCACTGATTTTGGTGCCGAAAATGCTGTTTTGTGCAATTTTGAAGGGTCAGGCACCCTTCTAGTTACTGGGCAACTCCATTTTGGTGAGCAAAGGCAGTCAGACACCCCTCCAAGTGTTGGGCTAGACATTGCAAGCAGTAAAGAAGCTTTGGGTGCTACTTTTGATGATCAAGACCCTACTGTGACTCCTCCGATTCAAGTTCCTCAAGACTACTCCTTACGGCCCCGGAAGAAGAAATATAAAGGGAAAGTGGGACTCGATGATGACAAGTCTAAAGTGAGTACCCTTTCCAGTCTGTTTCATTTAGATAAAGATATCTCGAGGCTTGTTTTTACTTATTGCATTCCTCCGACCGTGCTGTGCCGTCGGGCTGAGTTGGGCGAGCTTGCTTGCGATGACTCTTCTGGTGATATTGTTGTTTACAAGGAGATACTTGAGGCTGGGTTAAGATTCCCCATGTCCTCTCCCATTTGTCGCGTTTTGCACTATTTTTCCTTAACTTCGGAGCGACTAGCGTCCAATGGTTGGAGAGTTCTGTTGGGCTTTCTTGCATTGTGGAGAAAAGTGCACCATGAGGATGCTCCTCCTATGGAGTTCCATGCAGCATACAATTTGAGCGAAACTCCTGCACCAAATAGGGGGTGGTACTATTTTACCATAAGAAGTGGTACAGTGCTTACGGGAACACGCTCTAATTATGGCGGTTAGAAATCTTGCTTCTTCTTTGTTGGTGGAGAGTGGGCTACAGAAGCTAACAGAGCTTTGGTACCAACACATTGGGGCGCTGCTAGAAAACCCGGTACGCTACACATTTATTTATTTATATTTATATATATGTATACATATATGCTCACCATTCCCATGAAGACACGTCTGTGCTTTCTCGAGACTAGGAGTGGAAGTTGGAGGTTGTCAAGGCTTGCCCTTGCAAAGATTTGGGAGCTCTCCTGCCCAAGGATACTAGGGTCATTGATCCCTCTGAGAAATCCAGTGGTTTCTCTTTGAAGAAAAGGGGTGAACTAGTTTCCTCTTTTAATTCTCTTCTTCCCTCGGTATTTTTCATTTACCTGACACTTCTCTGCTCTTGCAGCAAGTAAGAGGGTGGTGGTGTCTCGTTTCTCTAGTAGGAGCCCTCTCTCTTCCAAAGTGGCAAGGACGGATGATGCCCCCCAAGTGACTCCCACGGTGGTTCCTCCTCAGCTGGTGACTTCTCCAGTTGTTACTCCAAAATCTTCCTTGCCGGGCACATCCTCCCCACCCTTCATCCCCTCCTCGTGCTACCACTCCTTTGTCCCTTCCTCGTGCGAGAACTTCTACAGGAGTGCCGATTTGGGCTGGTCCTATGATGGGGACTCCGCTAGCCATCAGGGCAAGGCTTGGGAGGTTTGTGTTTGGACCCGAAGTTTCTCAGCTTAGCGCTTTGGGTACCGATAGGATCGTCAATACGTATTTGGAAGGCATGGCTCAGGTGAGGGTCCACTATTCCCCTTTCTCCAATCGTTTCCTATGTTTTTGACTTTTCTCAACCTCTTATCTCCTTTTTTTTTTTAGGTTTTGACTTCCTTTATCTGCTTGCTTTTGAGGGCCTATAATCATGACAAGCTGAAATTGGATCTGGGCCTTGTGCAAAGGGAGCTTCTTACTGCTCAGGGGAGGATTGTCAAGCTTAATTCTGAGCTTTTGGCGACCTGTGAGAGATGCGCTCTGGGAGGGTGAGCTTGTGGTGGCTCATGAAAGGGCTTTCAATTTTTGGGTCTGAGCTTTTGGCGACCCGTGCGAGGGACGCGCTTAGGAATGTGAGCTTATTGCAGCCCATGAGAGGACAACTAAGCTTGAGGCTGAGCTTCTAGCGGTCCGCGAGAGAAATGCGCTCAGGGAGGCTGAGCTTGCAGAGGCCCATGGGGGGCCCATGCTCAGAGAGGCTGCTGTTGCCGAGGCAAAGTTGAAGGCTACTTGGAAGAGAGTTTCTCGTGCTGAGGAAGACTTGGAGAATGGCCTCACATATGCTTTCATTGATGGTTTCAAGGATCTCCGAGGGAAGGTTTCTGTCGCTTTCCCTGGCATTGACTTCTCACGTTTCGTGCCCACTGACGACAGTGATGAGGGGGGATATGATAATGTTGATGATGACGAGGAGGAGGTGGAGGACGACCGTGAGAGTAGTTAGAGTGTTTAGGACTTTTGATTTTTTTTTTTTGAAAAGACGATATTTGGCCTTATTTTTATACTGATACTCCTTTGAAATGAAATGTAAAAGATCTTTTTGGAGTAAATAGCGTATAAAATTTTATTGATTTATTGCTTAAAAAAAGCAATATTGGGTAATAATTCCCAAAAAAGTACATTGAATATTGGGTAACGCCCTTAAAAATTAAATCAAGTCTCAACTTCTACTACTTTGATGCTCTCAAGGTGTCATTAATAATATATCTTCAAGTGTTCTGCATTCCATGGATGAAGTAAGACTTTTTCCTCAGAATTTTGGATCTTGTAGGTGTTTGGCCTCACTACTTCTGTTACGCGGTAGAGTCCTTCCCAATTTGGTCACAGCTTTCCTTCGCGTGCATTCTTTGTGACGAGGATTACTTTCTTGAGGACCAAATCCCCTGGTTGGAAGGAACGAGGCTTCACCCTCGAATTTTAGTACCTTGTCATGCGTCGTTTGCCTCCTCCACCAAGTCGAGGTTGATGTGGAGTTCTTCCTCTTTGGAGTTTGAAATGGAACACCGGTCATCCGGTAAAGCCATCTGGGCACCAAGGACTTGAGGTGCAGCTTGGGATGTCTGGGCATCTGGAGGTGCAGCCTGGGATGCCTGGGCATCAAGAAAGGTTGTTTGGGCTCCTAGGGAGGAGACCTGGGCGCCCAAACTGACCTGAGCGCCTGCTTGAGGGTCTTTGCTAAGCTTCTTGGTGTCCCCGTTGGGCATCTGGGCATCCTCATCGTTCCCCTCTTCTGTTGGTGTGAGTTTGGCAATGAAATCTGCTAGGGCTTGTGCTTTGATGGCTATCCTGAGTTGGTACTGAATTTCGAACTCCCCGAGTTGCACTGCCCATTTAAGAAGTCTGCCAGATACATCCGACTTTTCCAAAACTCTTTTAAGAGGTTGGTCCGTGATGACCATTATACGGTGGCCCTGAAAGTAATGTCGCAGTCGTCTCGCCGTCGTGACAAAAGCGAGTGTCAGTTTTTCTAGTGTCGAATATTTGACCTCTGCCCCCCGATAGGCCCTGTTCACATAATAAATTGGCTTCTGCACTCCATTATCATTTATGATGAGCACTGAGC